TAGTCTATAGTCTAGTCTATAGTCTAGTCTATAGTCTAGTCTATAGTCTAGTCTATAGTCTAGTCTATAGTCTAGTCTTATAGTTAGTCTATAGTCTAGTCTATAGTCTAGTCTGTAGTCTAGTCTATAGTCTAGTCTATAGTCTAGTCTGTAGTCTAGTCTATAGTCTAGTCTATAGTCTAGTCTATAGTCTAGTCTATAGTCTAGTCTATAGTCTAGTCTATAGTCTAGTCTATAGTCTAGTCTATAGTCTTGTCTATAGTCTAGTCTATAGTCTAGTTTATAGTCTAGTCTATAGTCTAGTCTATAGTCTAGTCTATAGTCTAGTCTATAGTTTAGTCTATAGTCCAATCTATAGTCTAGTCTATAGTCTAGTCTATAATCGAGTCTATAATCGAGTCCATAATCGAGTCTATAGTCTAGTATTGTCCCTGAAAAGTACTCTATTTGGTACCTTCTCAAAATTTAAATTTTTCCATGACTTCTCCAGACCATTTTTTCCACTTCTTTCATTTTCTCATCTTTGTTTTATTCTTTAGCTCTTTTTATTGTAGTTGTTGTTGTTGCCGCTGATAGCAGAATGAATGAATGACAGCAACAGCATGCTTAAATGCATTCATGGCAGTTTTTTTAGGGTCATTATGCACTCTGATTGTTTATGCTAAAGAAAGTGAAAAAGTAATAATAAAAAAGTACGAAGGAAAAAATATGAATTTAGTAAGACAATATTTTAAACGTTTTTCTATGTTTGGCACTATTTAACACAACCATTTTTTTGCTTTTTACTTTATATTACTTGTTTTAAATGAAAAAATATGTTGTTGTTTAGTCTTTGTTTTCAAAAAGTTACATTACTGTGTAAAACTTTTTTGTTAAATATTTCCCCTATTTTGTTAAAACAATCTTTGGCCCAGTATTAGAATTTTTTAAAGAAAAGATGAAAAGAATAAGTAGAAAATATTTAAACTAAAATTTATCTAATTTCAAACAGGAACAAAGTTGCAAAAATGTTGTTTTTAAACGGATTTCTATATTTGAGAACATCTGAAATTATTTTTTATTGCTCATAATTTTATTTATTTAGAGAAATTAAGGAATTGTTTTAATTAGATGGAATGTTCTCGAATATTCGACAAGTTCTATTCTAAGTTCTGTTCTAGTTGTGTTCTCGTTCTGTTTCTAGTTCTGTTCCAGTTCTGTTCTAGTTCTGTTCTAGTTCTGTTCTAGTTCTGTTCTAGTTCTGTTTCTAGTTCTGTTCTAGTTCTGTTCTGTTCTGTTCTAGTTCTGTTCTAGTTCTGTTCTAGTTCTGTTCTAGTTCTGTTCTAGTTCTGTTCTAGCTGTTCTAGTTCTGTTCTAGTTCTGTTCTAGTTCTGTTCTAGTTCGTTCTAGTTCTGTTCTAGTTCTGTTCTAGTTCTGTTCTAGGTTCTGTTCTAGTTCTGTTCTAGTTCTGTTCTAGTTCTGTTCTAGTTCTGTTCTAGTTCTGTTCTAGTCTGTTCTAGTTCTGTTCTAGTTCTGTTTCTAGTTCTAGTTCTAGTTCTGTTCTAGTTCTGTTCTAGTTCTGTTCTAGTTCTGTTCTAGTTCTGTTGCTAGTTCTGTTCTAGTTCTGTTCTAGTTCTATTCTAGTTCTGTTCTAGTTCTGTTCTAGTTCTGTTCTAGTTCTGTTCTAGTTCTGTTCTAGTTCTGTTCTAGTTCTGTTCTAGTTCTGTTCTAGTTCTGTTCTAGTTCTGTTCTAGTTCTGTTCTAGTTCTGTTCTAGTTCTGTTCTAGTTCTGTTCTAGTTCTGTTCTAGTTCTGTTCTAGTTCTGTTCTAGTTCTGTTCTAGTTCTGTTCTATTCTGTTCTAGTCTGTTCTAGTTCTGTTCTAGTTCTGTTCTAGTTCTGTTCTAGTTCTGTTCTAGTTCTGTTCTAGTTCTGTTCTAGTTCTGTTCTAGTTCTGTTCTGTTCTAGTTCTGTTCTAGTTCTGTTCTAGTTCTGTTCTAGTTCTGTTCTAGTTCTGTTCTAGTTCTGTTTCTAGTTCTGTTCAGTTCTGTTCTAGTTCTGTTCTAGTTCTGTTCTAGTTCTGTTCTAGTTCTGTTCTAGTTCTGTTCTAGTTCTGTTCTAGTTCTATTCTAGTTCTGTTCTAGTTCTGTTCTAGTTCTGTTCTAGTTCTATTCTAGTTCTGTTCTAGTTCTGTTCTAGTTCTATTCTAGTTCTGTTCTAGTCTGTTCTAGTTCTGTTCTAGTTCTGATTCTAGTTCTGTTCTAGTTCTGTTCTAGTTCTGTTCTAGTTCTATTCTAGTTCTGTTCTAGTTCTGTTCTAGTTCTTCTAGTTTTGTTCTAGTTCTGTTCTAGTTCTGTTCTAGTTCTGTTCTAGTTCTGTTCTAGTTCTGTTCTTAGTTCTAGTTCTAGTTCTGTTCTAAGTTCTGTTCTAGTTCTGTTCTAGTTCTTCTAGTTCTGTTCTAGTTCTGTTCTAGTTCTGTTCTAGTTCTGTTCTAGTTCTGTTCTAGTTCTGTTCTAGTTCTGTTCTAGTTCTGTTCTAGTTTCTGTTCTAGTTCTAGGTTTCTGTTCTAGTTCTGTTCTAGTTCTGTTCTAGTTCTGTTCTAGTTCTGTTCTAGTTCTGTTCTAGTTCTGTCTAGTTCGTTCTATTCTGTTCTAGTTCTGTTCTAGTTCTATTCTAGTTCTGTTCTAGTTCTGTTCTAGTTCTTTCTAGTTCTATTCTAGTTCTGTTCTAGTTCTGTTCTAGTTCTGTTCTAGTTCTGTTCTAGTTCTGTTATTCTGTTTATTCGGTTCTGTTCTAGTTCTGTTCTAGTTCTGTTCTAGTTCTGTTCTAGTTCTGTTCTAGTTCTGTTCTAGTTGTTCTGGTTCTGTTCTAGTTCTGTTCTAGTTCTGTTCTAGTTCTGTTCTAGTTCTGTTCTAGTTCTGTTCTAGTTCTGTTCTAGTTCTGTTCTAGTTCTGTTCTAGTTCTGTTCTAGTTCTGTTCTAGTTCTGTTCTAGTTCTGTTCTAGTTCTGTTCTAGTTGTTCTAGTTCTGTTTCTAGTTCTGTTCTAGTTCTGTTCTAGTTCGTTCTAGTTCTGTTCTAGTTCTGTTCTAGTTCTGTTCTAGTTCTGTTCTAGTTATGTTCTAGTTCTGTTCTAGTTCTGTTCTAGTTCTGTTCTAGTTCTGTTCTAGTTCTGTTCTAGTTCTGTTCTAGTTCTGTTCTAGTTCTGTTCTAGTTCTGTTCTAGTTCTGTTCTAGTTCTGTTCTAGTTCTGTTCTAGTTCTGTTGTAGTTCTGTTTAGTTCTGTTCTAGTTCTGTTCTAGTTCTGTTCTAGTTCTGTTCTAGTTCTGTTCTAGTTCTGTTCTAGTTCTGTTCTAGTTCTGTTTAGTTCTGTTCTAGTTCTGTTCTAGTTCTGTTCTAGTTCTGTTCTAGTTCTGTTCTAGTTCTAGTTCTGTTCTAGTTCTGTTCTAGTTCTGTTCTAGTCTGTTCTAGTTCTGTTCTAGTTCTGTTCTAGTTCTGTTCTAGTTCTGTTCTAGTTCTGTTCTAGTTCTGTTCTAGTTCTGTTCTAGTTGCTCTAGTGTCTCAGTTTGTTCTAGTTCTGTTCTAGTTCTGTTCTAGTTTTGTTCTAGTTCTGTTCTAGTTCTGTTCTAGTTCTGTTCTAGTTCTGTTCTAGTTCTATTCTGTTCTAGTTCTGTTCTAGTTCAGTTCTAGTCTTTTCTAGTTCTGTTCTAGTTCTGTTCTAGTTCTGTTCTAGTTCTGTTCTAGTTCTGTTCTAGTTCTGTTCTAGTTCGTTCTAGTTCTGTTCTAGTTCTGTTCTAATTCTAGTTCTGTTCTGTTCTAGTTCTGCTCTAGTTCTGTTCTAGTTCTGTTTTAGTTCTTTCTTGTGGGTTATGGAATTTTCCTTTAAAATGCTTTCAACAGCATAAAATTACTTTCCCTTTTAATTTTCTTAAATTCCCATTCTCTGGCTTTCTATTTCACAGACATAATTTTCCAAAAAAATCTTTTTTTTTCAAATTGCTTTTAACCTTCACTTCTAACATTTTACAAATAATTTATACACAGTTCGCAGGCTAAAAATTACACTGAAACCCCTCCAGTTAGACTGCTTTAATATTAGGAAAATAGAAGTTGGGGAAAATACTAAAATATAGACAATGCTTTTCACTTTCTTAAAATCTAAGGGTGAAAGAACAAGAGTATTTTAAAATACGCATTTTTAACAAAATAATATTGCTTTTATATAGACTCATACATCTAATGCTTACATTACTTTTTCCGTTTCCTTTAAAGCAGTATGTAGTTATTGTTGTTGTGCGTGTAAAACATCTTTTTTTCGTTTGATTTGAAAAATGAAGGAGAAAATTTAAAATTTTAATGAGCTTCGCTAGCGAGCTTTTTTTCAATTTTTATAGACTCACTCTCTGGTGCTTGTTATATGTATTATTTTATTTGTTGTTTAAACATGTTCGTGAGGGAGTTTGCTTTTAGATATTAAAACAGGAGAAAAAGAGTAAAGTACTTTAAGTACTATACTCCATTATTTGTTCACTGAACATATACAATTACAAAATTTTTCTGTATTTCAAACATCAACAATTTTGTTGTAGCATACATTAAGGCATATGTAGTGAATTCCATAACAGGATGTGACTTTTTTGTTGTTTTGTGTTTTATTATTGCAAAAGGTATAAGTACATGTGAGTGTAGATGTGAATATATTTTCTTACCTGTAGGAAGATGAGGGAGGATTTTAACAAATATTACGCTTTGTTTTTTTTGCTAACATTTCACAAAAGGAAGACAAATGTAATAAAAATTTAGATTCTTTATTTATTTTTTCTTCGCTTCTTAACTAAAATATTATTTTACCTTAGTTTCTTTTGTTGTTTTATCTACAACAATATTATAACTGAAATTTGTTTGTAAAATTCTATAGGATTGTCAATTATTTTAAAAGTATGTTATTTTTTGCTTTATTAACTATAATTTGATACGACAAGAAAAATCTTATTAAATTTTTTCATTATTTTTTCCGCTCTTTCTAGGATAAACGCGACTGTGGTGCTCCTTGTCATGCCATGTTTTTCCCTGAAAAAGAACGTACCGTTCTTAGATATTGGGTAGGCTCTTGGGCGGCCGTATGTGTGGCTAGCTGTTTGTTTACGGTAAGTTATCTCTATATTTAAGTTAAAAACCGAATTTTTACACAATTGTCGCTAGTAAAAGCAAAAAGCTTTTCAAAAGCTTTTAATATATAACCAAAATTTTAAAATTTTTGCTTCTAAATTGCTATTTCTATTAAAAATTTAATATTTGTGAAAAATAAACAGAAAGCTTTTACTAGAGCTTTTGCAACTTTATTAAAAGCTTTTGAAAAATAATAAAAATTTCAATAAATTAAGTTTTTACGTTAAATATTCTGAATGTAAACCTATTTTTAAGCTAAAACAACAGAAAGCTCTTTCGGAAGCTTTTGTCAGAGCTTTTGAAATTTGTTTAAAAAGCTTTTATAAATATTAAAATTTTTACAATTACGTTTCTATATTGAATTTTCCAACTGTAAACCTATTTTTAAGCAAAATTTAAAGAAAGCTTTTTCGAATGCTTTAACATTAATGCAATTATTAAACAAAAAATTGCAAAATTTTCACTTTCTACAATTTCTAAATTGCAATTTGTTTTAAAAATTTTAATTTTCAGCGAAAAACAGAGAAAGCTTTTTTCTGAGCTTTTCAAATTTGTTTAAAAAACTTTTATAAGTATAAAAAAATTTACAGTTAAGCTTTTGTTTATTTGATTTTGTAGCTTAAAATTAGTTTTTAAGCAAAATTTCAGGAAATATTTTTAAATTAGTAGAAAAATTTTAAGAAAGCTTTTGAAAAGCTTTTTATAATTTTTAAAATTTTCTTTAAAAAATTATATTTGAGATATATTAAAGGGTATTTGCAGGATTTAGGGAAATTTTATGTTTTTTAGCCTTTTAAAAGTGCAAAAGCTTTTTTGAGAGCTTTTACAAAAAAGTCCAATTTGTTAAATTTTTAGTTTTAAGATATTTTAAAGAGTATTTGCAGGATTTAGGGTAATTTTATGTTTTTTAGCCTTTCAAAAATGCAAAAGTTTGTTGAGAGCTTTTACAAAAAAGTGGTATTTTCGTTTTAAAATTCGTAATTATATAAAATTTTAGTTTATTATTAAAATTTTACTTTAAAATTATACTTTTTCAACTTTTAGTAGAAATTTTTAAGAAAGCTTTTTTAAATTTTTAAAATTTTCTTTAAAAAATGATATTTGAGATATTTTAAAGAGTATTAGCAGGATTTAGGGTAACTTTATGTTTTTTAGCCCTTTAAAAATGCAAAAGCTTTTTGGGAGCTTTTACAAAAATGTCGAATTTGTTATATTTTTGGTTTTAAGATATTTTAAAGAGTATTTGCAGGATTTAGGGTAATTTTATGATTTTTAGCCTTTCAAAAGTGCAAAAGCTTACTGAGAGCTTTTACAAAAAAAGTGGAATTTTCATTTTAAAATTCTTAATTTTATAAAATTTTAGTTTTTTTATAAAATTTTTACTCTACTGTTACTTTTTCAATATTTAGTATAAAATGTTTAAGTAAGCTTTTGAAAAGCTTTTTAAAATTTTTTAACTTTTCTTTAGAAAATGATATTTGAAATATTTTAAAGAGTATTTGCAGGATTTAGGGTAATTTTATGTTTTTTAGCCTTTTAAAAATTCAAAAGCTTTTTGAGAGCTTTTACAAAAAAAAGCGAAATTTGCTAAATTTTTAGTTTTAAGATATTTTAAAGGGGTATTTGCAGGATTTAGGGTAATTTTATATATTTTAGCCTTTTAAAAGTGCAAAAGCTTTTTGAGAGCTTTTACAAAAAAAGTAAAATGTTTAAAATTTTTAGTTTTTTTATAAAATTTTGGACTTTTAATCGATTTATTTCACTATTTAAGAGAACAATTTTAAAAAAGCTTTTGAAAGCTTTTCTATTTTTTTTAAATATATCTTAAATTTACGGCAATTGTTGCCGTATTTAACCTAAAAACACTTGTTCCTTTCTTAAGTTTAAAATTGCCTTCATATTTGTTTATTTACTTTTAGTTAACAAGTTGTAACTTGTCAACATTTTTTTTGTAGTTTATGTAAAACATTTCAATTTTTATGGCATTTTTTACTAAAAGAAACTCCTAAAATTGCTTAGACTACTTAAGCTATATAGTCATATCAGTTTAAATATTAAAACTTAATAATAAATTTATCTTATTTACTATTTTTTTTTCTACTAAAAGCTCTTGTACATGACAAGTGAAATGCATTGAGTACACTAGAGTTATTGCAATTTTTTTTATATTTTTTTGGGGGATAACTACAATTTTTTGGAGATAAAACCATGATATACAAATTTGCTGCATTAGGTAAAATTTGATATTTTAATATTTGACTACAGAAAATGCAAATGTTTTAGTCAGATGACAGACAGATATACTACAACTGTAGACAGAAACTTTTGACTACAAATCTTTACAAATGAAAATGAAAAAATCATGTCACAGTTACAAGCAAGAAAGGGGCACCACTACAATCAACAACAAGTTGATATAAAAATTGTTGCAAGTATTATGACCACTTTAGAAGCCATTTACGGCAGTTGGTCTGCATGTAGAAAACTTAAAAGCTTTTACATTATAAGAGACCAAAACCTTCCACTCTATCCTGTTGTCATCATCATTATCGTTATGTACAATGATGATTAATGTTTAGAAACATAATACGTGATTTGAATTTCTTTTGTCTTTTCCTCTCTAACCCCTTCTCTTTCCTGCTCCTTATAATTCATGATAAATTACATTTCTTGATAATTTTAGGCCTAATAAAGGAAAAATATTATTTTCTTCTTTTTTTTTTGTAATAACAAGAAAAACTTTTAGACATTCATTCATAAATAAATAAATTCAAATACAAAATTTTCTTCATAAATATTAATTATGTGGAAAATAAAAAACATGCAAAACTGTGTTATTTCTATAAATAAAATTTACAGCAAATATTTCTAAAGTTTGTGTTAAATAAATATTTGTTGCAAATTTTATCATTTAACAGCAGCAGCTGCAATCAGCACAACTACAACCAAGCGCTTCGACATCAGATCACATCATTAAAACTTCATTTGTCAACAGCGGCAGACACACATCAATTGTTTTTTAACACCCAAAAGTCAAACAACAAATTTTTGTCACACACACACCCATCAACAAAAAGTTTTAAGTTCATATAGACACCAACATGAACTATGATGCAGCCGCAGGCAAATAGGAAAGTTAGAGGAGGCTAACACTAGGTTAACCCAGCAAAAATGTGTAGATAAAAGCTTTTTCAGAAACGTTATCTGTTTTTAAGCTGAAAAGCTTTCTATATCAAATAAGCTTTAAGCGTTTTTCAAGCCTCAAAACGTCTTCTTTAGTCTGTAAAGTCCAAACTCCTTTAAGATTACGAAAAAAATTTATAATACTCCAATTAAAACTGAAAGCTTTGATGTTCTTGAAGCTTATAAAGCTTTTTTATATAAATTTCTTTAAAGTCCATATTCATAGCTTTTCTACAAACTAAAAGCTTTTACCTATTTCAAGCTTTAAAGCTTTCTTTTATAAGACCAAAAACCTTTATCATTACGAAAAAAAATCATTATTCTTCATTTAAAACTGAAAGCTTTTATATTCTTAAAGCTATAAAGCTTTTTTTATACACATTTCTTTTAAGTCCATATTCATAGCTTTTCTACAAACTAAAAGCTTTTACCTATTGCAAGCTTTAAAGCATTCTTTTATGAGACCAAAAACCTTTAATTTAGCAAAAAAAAAAAACAAAAAAATCATAACTCATCAATTAAAACTGAAAGCTTTTATATTCTTAAAGCTATAAAGCTTTTTTATACACATTTCTTTAAAGTTCATATTCATAGCTTTTCTACACACTAAAAGCTTTTAACTATTTCAAGCTTTAAAGCTTTCTTTTTTGGGACCAAAAACCTATAAGATTGCAAAAAAATCATAATTTTTCAATTAAACTAAAAAGCTATTTTATATAAATTTCTTTGAATACCATATTCTTAGCATTTCTACAAACTAAAAGTTTTTACCTATATCAAGCTTTAAAGCTTTCTTTTATGAGTTATTGGTAACTTCTTATTCTCCTTGTTACAAATTCTATTACAATTCATATTGAAAGCTTTCCTTTTAGTATAGCTTCTTAGTTTTAGAAATCATGCTCAGTTTCTTTTTATATTTTTAGCTTTCCTACTAACAAAGTTTAAAAAAGCTTTCATTAGCGAATAATACTTCACTTTTAACCAAATGTTTTGTTATTCTTTTATAATTTCTACTTTCATATGTACTAAAAGCATTCAGTAATATTTTACTTCAAGAAAGCTTTTATATATTACCAAAGCTTTAATACTTCCTTTAATAACATAATTTATAGCTGCTTATTCTCAGTTATCTCAATCATTCTCATTCAGAATATAAAGATATTATTCACTTTAAACTAAAAGCTTTCATACTAACAAATCCTGAAAGCTTTCTTTAACGACTTAAATAGTTAAGTGGAGAATAACACTTCACTTTAAACTAAAAGCTTTCTATCTATCAAAGCTTTAAAGCTTTTTACATTAATGTGAAAAGAGCTTTAGAGCTTTTATAATTTTCTTTATTTAAAATAGCACTTTAGTTAATACTAAAAGCTTTCAGTAAAGCTTAACTTTAATATAAAAGCTTTTATATTATCAAAGCTCTTTATTCTCATTATTCAAAATTCTACTTTAATTAATACTAAAAGCTTTCCTTCTAATAAAACTTTTACATTTTCTTAATCATTCAGAGTTTTCTTTTATATTCTCGGCATCACTTCTAACTCTAAACTTTCACACTCTGAAAACGTAAAGCTAAAACTTTAAAGCCTAATATATTTACTTTTTATCTGTACTTCACTTCAAACTAAAAGCTTTCATTTAATCAAAGATTAAAATCGTTTCATATCAACATGATTTGCTCCTCCTAAGTTTTTATTTCTAATTTATGTATAATTTCGTAAGAAAAGCTTTTATATTAACAAAACTTTAAAGCTTTTTCTTATTCTCTTCATTAAAAATTTTACTTCCATTCCAG